CCCGTTCCTTCTTCTTCTTTCCCGTTCTTCTTCTCTTTTCCCTCGCGTTTTCCCTTTCCTCTCATTCTTCTCTTTTCCCTCTTCTTCTCTTTTCCCGTTCCTTCTTCTTCTTTCCCGTTCTTCTTCTCTTTTCCCTCGCGTTTTCCCTTTCCTCTCATTCTTCTCTCTTTCCGCTCGTTCTTCTCTTTTCCCTCTCATTCTTCTCCTTTCCCGTTCTTCTTCTCCTTTCCCTCGCCTTTTCTCTTTCCTCTCGTTCTTCTCTTTTCCTTCTCATTCTCCTCTCTTTCCTCTCCTTTTTGAGACCCGCAGGTAAAGGAAATCAGCACTCACCCCAACTCTTAAGCCTTCTAGGACTCGAATCATATACAGACATTTGCAGAGTGGCAGAGGGAGGTCTGGACGAGCAGAGCTCCCGACACCCAGAACGATGGTTCCAGTCATACATGTTGGGGGCTATATATTTGTTGGGGGCTATATCTAAATTGGGGGCTACATATACATTGGGGCCATATTTCAGCGGGTCTTTTGGACTCAAACATGACTGTCGAATAATGCTTCCGCCTGCTGTGGAAGTACATCTGGCCAGCCTGTATACCTCATCAAACCCTTTCACATCATAAGGTCATGACTCGTTCCCGTAGGCGTCCCTGATCCCAGCCATGCGTGTCGTCTCATTCTTTTATTTCCCATGCATCACCACTGACTTCTTAGAATCCTACGTCACCACATACCAATGCTCGGTGATGTTTCATTGTTTTGTTCTGGTCAGTACATGCTTCACGTGCCCCATTACTAGTATCGTGGGCTTGTCCACGACATATTTAACACCACTTGTTGACTCAACCGGCAAGCTTGCTCTGAACTCACCCATTGACACGTTGCTATGCGGATCAAAGATCTCTTAGATTGATTCCTTTGGTGACACTAGATCAAATGATTCATACAATACATGATCTTTGGTTTGGCCATCAAAACACATTACATTAAGCACTTGCGTTTGAAAACATTTACTCGTCAAATATAATTGCTATGGGGCACGATGGAGAAAATACAGCTTGCATGTACTCGAGGCTATTTATTGGTTTTACTCCTTGAAACCATTCTGCCTAAATCAAGCTTCGCGAGCAAGCCTTTGACAGCCCATTTCAGCCTCTGTTCTTCACTCTGTCAAGCTGCTAGTATTTCTCCGTAATACAGAAATATAGATAAGTACAGCTGATGCGTTACTTTCTGGCACACGAGAATTTCTAGCTATTTCCAGGTCATGCATTTTCAAGTGCTCTTTTCCTTTTCTTCTTGCTTGTCTTCCGTTGCAGGATGTATCATTGAAAGTTTAGTTTCCTGCCAATAGAAACACTCTGACTCTGCGAGAGCATGTGCTCAAATTAAAATAGGGTCTTTGAATTGAACAATTTTCATTGTGCTACTTGACTTGTCGTATGATCATGGATTGAAACTGAACAAAGAACATACACTATTTTGATAAAAATTGTCGAAAACCGTCAGTTATCTTTGTGCTGGACCTATCAAAGAATTGTTCAAAACACTTTGAAACGCTCAAGATAGTATTCATACCGAAAAGCATAAACAATTTTATATCGCAAAGACTATAGAGCCATTTCCGCTGACTGAAAAAAAAGTTCTTGTGAATCAGAAGTGAATTCTTTTCATAAGTGTGTCTTTTCAGCTGAATAGAATTGTGGGGAAAAAAGTGAAAATCTTACTGTGTTTACACCTAATCATCTCAAAATCAATTGCGATTCTATGTTAGTCTCACTTGCTGTGATCACAAAATACAACTCTAATTTAAGAAACTCGTTTAGTCTGTGTTTCTGTCTCCTTCTTTTCATAAAGCGGTTACTCTTCAAGGCTCATGCACTTTTGCTTTTGAGATTTCTTGTCAACTAGTACAATCTGAGTTTGAAATTTGGAAAGGAGGAAAGGATGATTCTCAAAGGATTCTTTTTTTTCGCTAAATCTCAGATAATCCAGTTAACTCAGTTGAATTTTTCCTTTCATAATGATTCTTCGAATATAACTATGAAAACCTTCATTTCAAAATTATTTCGATGGCATCTCGTGAAAAAGGTTACTCCTCGTTTTGAGGCTGCCTGAAGAAAAAACTGTCCTAAAAAGGCGAGTTTTCAGCTTAATTTTTTTTTCTTCAGTTTCAAGGATTGACTATGCCTCAACATGATGAATATCAGAAAAGTGCAGGTCACACCTGTTAAACCCACAAGAGACTTGTATTTCACAAACCGTGGTAAAAAAGTAAAGTTTGTATCGTCAATCAAACACATGGAAGCTTAGCTTTTGTAGTACGCATTGAGAACAAACTTAAAAAGTAGAATTCTGAACATATAATATTTCTACAAAGGAGAAGCCTGCCTCTATTTGCATTGCCTTGAAAGCAAAACTCTTATGTCTTTCTGCATTTATCAAAAAGTAAGATGCAAATACTACAGCGCCAAAAACAAGTACTATTGTGAGTTCATCTTTTATCCCTGATGCAAAACAATTTGTATTACGATGAGGATCTTGGATAGGTTTTTGGGTTTGAGTTTTCCCAACTCGACACATGCTATCAAAAAAGAAAGTTTTTTTGCTAAAATTGCCTTTGAGTTCAAGCACCAGTTTTCTTGTAATTGTGAAAGTTGGGACACACTCCACACAAAGTCATTGAATCTAACCGCCCACACAAATAATTTAGTAAAACAAAGACATTTTAGCCATACTGGCCGTATTAGGACACTTAACAATCATTTTAGATCAGGATGAATTTTCGAACCGTCTTGAGCAGCTTTTTCGATGCACGAGAAAGAACAGTGGCCCGCGAAGAATATGAGATTGCCACGTGTACTCCAAACTTTGCGAAAGCTGTCTTGGGGGCAACTTTTAGCTTTACGATGAACTGGAAAAACTGATAATTGATTAGTAGCCTAGGAACTGAACACCAACATTATCAGGTTGAAAAGACTTGCAATGTTCGACAAGTAATACTGATTTAATCCAAGAATTTGCATTCTTTACAGTTTGAAGACTGGCAAACGATATTTAGTCACCAAAGAACAAGCCCCTGCAGAAAATCGCCCTATAATTCTCAAACTGATGTCTTTCTTCCAGCAAATGTTTATTCTCACATGAGAGTCCAACTTGCGTGTCCAAAACTGTTTTGAAGCTTATAAATATTGTCAATATTGTAGGACTGTCCAGCTCGGCCCATTCGAAACTGTATTTATATTGTTTTCTCATAAGTTGAGACTTTGAAGTGTTTGAAGGTTATCATAGCTTCAGGTCTTACATACAATAAAGGAAGAGGTATTTCTGTGTGGTTTAAATGTTTAAAAAACAATAAACAGGCCTAAAACTCCTTATTTGCTCATACCACTTTTCTCAAAACAGCTTAAAGTAGTAGTGCTTCGGGTATCAGTGTGAAACACCGTAGCCAGTATGCGGCATATAATAAAAAAGTACTGTATTTGTATTTTCTCAATCAGAAAGACCAAAAAAGAGTCGGTTTAAACAGTAATAGTATTGTCTTTTCCATTATGTGTGCCAGGATACACGAGGAATCTATTGTTGGGTTGTCATTGATTGCGATGCGTTTCTAATCGTCTGTCATGTTACTGACGCTCCCCTCACTCAATTACACGATCAGACGACTTTGTCTGATATCCTAAGATTTCTCGCCTAAGGTCGTGCAGAGGAAAAATACATCTGCAGTAAACCAACAGATAAAAAAGACTCTCTTAAAAGAAAAATTAAGGAGGCTTTAGGATTCATTACTTTGGACTTGCAGTCATAGGGACTATCTGACCTCGACATGAAATGAGATTAGCTCGCTTAAATCATTGCGTAAAACAAAAGTTATTTGGAACATCTAGAGCAATGTGAGTTAGTTTAATAAAAAAAGCAATTTTAGCAGCTTTGGGGTTGTTCATAGCTGTTGCCAGCCACATGAGCATGCAACCGTCTATGAATCGGCTGTGTTTTTGGTCGGAAACTTTTCTCTCGTCAGAGCTTAGAAATGATATAAAGGTAGCCGGCTCATCTCTGGCAATTCCAATTTTGTGAAATACAACTAAAAAGTGTCGATGATTTTTGGTACATTCAAAGGATTAGCTTTAGGTAGTTTTTTCTCTGTGCTAGTGGCACAGACTCTACACCAGTCATCTCCAGAAGCAATCGTTTCTAATGAACACAATATTGTTGGCCAGGATTCCGAGGAATATGACCTTAGCACACGCGACGATTTTGATGATAAATCCACAAATCCGCTCGTACAAAAAAGAAGAGACCAATGGCCACACATGCATCAGGAAGTGATTCCTCTTAAGTATCACAGAGCTAACACTGCCTCCTACACAAAAGCGGAGGACGATAAATCTAGCAAAAGTAACCTTTCAAGTGGTGGTATTCTGAATTTTATTTTTGATGACAAAAACGAGTACACTTTTTTGGGCCTTGTGAGTGGAAATAGGGAGGAAATGGAAGAGTGGGCAGATATTGGGGACTTATATAAGGAGGTTTCAGACGCAATTGAGGATCGATTTACTTTTGCTAGCGAACACGAGTTTGGGCACGACGTTGATGACTTAGTAGAGCAAGCATGGGATGATTTGGATTTGAAATGGAAACCAGATAATCACGATAAGCATATTGCTGGATGCGTTTCGACTATGAATGCGATCATTGGTAGATACAACGAAATTCAGATCGATACCTTGGGTGCACATTGGGCTGGTTTATACAGAGGGGACCAATTAATTGAGGAAACAAAGCGCCAAAAGCAAATTGACGGAACTCCGGTTCAAATCTGCAGAAATGTCAATGAAAATGTTACTGAAACTGGTCTTTATTCTAGCTTGCAGTATAAATGGAGTGCTCAAGAAGGCGACATTTTGGTTGTTGTCTCGGATGAAGTGCGACTCCAATCCAGATCGAAAACTCGTTTTCTTCGAAGAATAATATACATCCCTACACAGATCTGCTTGATGTTGCGGCGATAAGAATTATTCTTGAAGCAAAACGAGTCGCTAATGAAAATCCCCTGAAAGATTTGGTCGCTATGGTGATGGGTATCGAGAATACTTAGGTAGTTGACTTACATTAGTATTAGCTTATGGCAATAAATCAATTTAACAAACGAAATATACTAAGACTATCTAAGGATAAAGGCCAGGTTCTGAACGACCTCCAACAAAGATTTAAACTGAAAGTACTTACTGCAGCAATCCCAAATACTCATGATTCACTAAGCACAAGTTATTCCTTATGTACTTTATCGCTCTTTGTTTCATAAATGTTGGCTAATTTTGGTAAATTTATCTGCTTTCTACAAATCCCTTCAATGAGCTGTCAAGTAACTGCTTATTGCTTACTCAGAGAAGTCATCCAAATAT